GGGGCCACCCACACAATCAGCTGCGGGCCAGGGCACTGCCTGCCCCACAGCTGCATATAAACAAAGCGGTGGGATGCTTGTGCCAGAGACAAGGGGCCAGTCATGTATCATCCAAGCTTTAAGACCCATGCCCGGACTAAAGGATACCATTGGCGCATTAGGTCAGTGCTGCTCACTGCAGCATTGATAGCCAGATAATGCCACCAACAGAGAAGAAGAGGAAGGACCTTTAGAATCTTCTTCTCCAACAGTGGCAATATGTGGCCATCAACGCCGCAGAGAGCAGCACTGACAGAAAGGGTATCCTGGCTTTCACTAGTCTGGACTTGTGACTTTCAAGAGTCTTTAGGCTTGGATGGCCTGAAGGCAGCTTGAAACATGGAAGGACCTTAGGAACCTACTTCCTCATCTTCTCCAGCAGTGGCAATATGTGGCTGTCAATGCCGCAGAGAGCAGCACTGACGTAATGCACCAATGAAAGGTTCCTTGTGGTGCTTCCAAGTACCATTATAATTCTGCAGATTATTTTCCACTTGCCTCAGGAAACCCCAAATCTCCAACATGTTGTTCAACAGTTCAGTATAAGCACCTCTAAGTTCCCATCTGATGACAGTGGATGCGCTGGTCTATAAGGCCGGTGCATCCACTGCAAGCCATAGCCCAGGGCAGGCCTCCTCCTCTTTAGTCGTTGGTTGATCGGACCACTGGCATCCTAGCAACCGATGACATCAGGTGTCCACCTCTGCAGTCACTGGTTGCTAGGATCACTGAGTTGTCCTAGCAACCAGTGAGGTCATATGTGTTCCCCGCTCCCAGCATTACAGGAGGATTAAAGGGTATTTGTAGCTCCACTTCGCGACTCCCGCCTCTGGCCTACTAATAAAGTAGAAAAATAAGGTATGTGGGGCCAATGATATAAAGTGGCACTCTAAAGGGGACAAACATTGTAAGGGAGAAAAACAAAATCATAAGCGCACAACTGATACTGTTTTAAACATTGTAAGGGGGCACTCTGATGGGTACAACTAATTATTAGTTGCATCCAGGCCCGGCGCTACCCCAAGGCAAGCGGCCGCCTGAGGGCGCTGCAGGGTGAGGGCGGAAAAAACAGGGCATTTTGACAAGTACTTGTACTTGTCAAAATGCCCCGATGCTTGCGCTATGTTTATTTTTTTCACTTACCTTCGGTGCGGGAGAGCAGTGGCGAGTCAGCGCTGGTCCGGTGGGAGGAGCTCCAGGTGGCCAGCGACTGCCAGAGGATCCCGACACGCGCGGCACCTCAGGCAGTCGCCGCCCCGCCGGCCAGCTAAATTAGAACCCCACCTGGAGCTCCTCCCACCGGACCAGCTCTCCCGCACCGAAGGTAAGTGAAGAAAAAAAAACATGCTGATAGGGAGCAGGCCCAGCGCTACAGGGGGTGGGGGAGGGGATTGGAAGGGGGGGGCTGGCGCGAAAATGCAACTTTGCATGTGTGGGCACAAATCCTAGCACAGGCCCTGTGTGCATCCATTGGAGTGCCCCTTACTTACATTAGTTGCCCCCAATCAGATTTTTAAAAACAATTTACATATAAATGCGTGTGTGCCTACACACCTTCACAGTAATGTGTTGGCCCTACACAACAGTCCCAATTTCTAATGTGGCCCCTTGAGATAATAAATTGCCCACCTCTGGAGTATTAGAACCTCACCACGGTATCCAAAGGTAAGAAAATAATAAAGAAGTTTTGGTTTTCTAAACTTCCTTTTGATACTTTTGGTTTCAATGCACAAACAATTCCATGAGCTTTTTTTTCCCCCTATCTTTTTATGTAGCAGGGAACTTGTTTACACTCCGCACTGCATTTGTCTCCCCGCGGCGCCTCGTAGCGCACCTCTCCACCACACAACACAATGCCATGTTTGCCGCTAATCCAACAGCACATAAATCTCGCAGGATGAGATGTAAAGTATACCGTAATTGCTTAAAACATCTCTCGCTCAGACCCCCGGCGTGCCTGGCAATCCGAGTAAGTGTCTGCTTTGCTGGTTACATCGGATTACAGCCCGCTGGGCACGAATAGGCCGGGAATTATTTTAACCGCTAAGCCGCCATTCAGTCCCGAGTTGCAGAAGGGCAAAAAAAAGGCAAAACAATTCATCGCAACGTCAAGCTGAGAATCTCCCCTGATGAGGTGTAAATGATGAAACGG